TTTAATAAAGAGTATATACTAACAAAAATAACGAAATTTCATATAAAAATTACAGCCCCCTATTTTACCCTTAGGGGTGAAATTTTTAAAAATCCTTCTTAGTGCACACCTACGTCACCTAAGGAACATTTGTACAAAATTTCATAATTCTATACCCAGCAATTCCAGCTGTGCGTTGATCGATCAGTCAGTGAATCAGTCTGTCAGTTTCTTCTTTAATAGATATAGATTAACTTTTAAAAATGTGTCACCGACTTTAATGTAACTACATCATGACTTTAAACCCATTTGTTCGTTTGCCCCTATCACATCAACAGCCTTTAATAGTCCACAGCGGGACATAAGCCTCTCCTTAAAAAGGAGGTTTTGGCCTACTATACCACGCTGGCCAGACGGGTTGGTATAGGGTCAGTGTCAAGTTTTCCCCTATACCATAAAAAAAATGTCGTCATACATACAAAATTCTCCGGAAAGAAAGACCCTAGTCTCCATCCGTACTTGCATAAAAAAATCATAAATCGTGTCAGGCTGTTGAAGATGACGATGACAATTTAAAAAAAACTGGGTATATGTCAAAATCAAAATAGTGACATATATCATTGACAATATTAACGTGGAGAGTGCCCGTATCGTCAAAAAACCATTTACGAATTAACTTCAAAAACAAGAACTAACCGCATTCTTGAATAGCTTTAACTTACCGCGTCACTCTATTAAAAATCGATTTGAGTGATACTATTAAGAGTGGGACTTTGAACAAGCTGCAGCAATAGAGTATTGCATAACATTTTTAAGACGAGTTCTCACGGCCACTAAACGTGACCGGAGGCACCAACGGAAAAACTCTGCTTTACTGATGAGATAAACATAATGTACAGGCGCTGTATATAATGACTCCAGTGAGAAAATAGATAATAATAATTATAAGCTTTATTTACATAAATACAAATAGCATAAAGTAAGTTGTACGCTATGAATAGACTCTGTCTTCTAAACTAGGAGTACCTAATGGGTTCACAGTTATAGATCTTTTTATATAGGTTTTGTTACGGGTAGAAAGAGATAGAGAACGTTAACAGCTACAGTTATCCGCTATTGAACTAACTTAAAAAAGGAATAGTTTGTCAATTATGAACCGATTTAAAAAAAAAACATTGCTTGGTCCCATCCAAATTTGAAGAACAAAATACCATACCTAATGGTCTGAAATTAAAGAATAAAGAATCCAGTTTATTATAATTTATCCTTATGTAAAGTAAATTACAAGGATAGAGACGCCTGATGTGATTGTTACCGCATGTGCCCTAGATTTTTGATGTGACATAATATTTTAATCTACTTCCTATGACTTGACAAATTATTTTTATCAAAGTCTATTCGAAATTCTATGTTTTATTCCATATATAAATCAACCACATATTGCGCCAAGGTCGCTCAAAAGCAGTGGCAAAAGTTTGGCAACACGAAAACATATATGTTATCGATGCTAAGTATGTACGATCAGAGTACATAACAAGTAAATTACTGGAATTAATAAAAAAAAATCACTAGACCCACGCAATTTCAAGCAAAACCGTCTTTGGGTAGGTCGGGATACAAAAAATCTTGTAGCCATATTTTTGGTTCATTACCAAAGGTTAAAGATTTCAAATAAAATACTGTATATCTATTCTGTAAAAAAAAACAATAAATATTTTAGTTTTTTAGTTTTAATGAAACTAGATTTCCATTAAACGTTTTTATTGTTATAAATCACTCGAAAGCAGACTCATAATTCCTACCGTTCTGCATAATGGTTATGTGTGTTAATGATATAAATATGGCCGTATGGCGAGGCTTAATTAATATGGAATTATTCAGATACTAATTCTGACTTTATTTATAAATTCTACCTCTAACAAAAACCTACTTACCTATCATCATCAATCATCATTAACAGCCTAGTTATCATAGCCCACTGCTGGACATATGTCTCTCCTTAAAAATGAGGTTTTGAGCCTACTATACCACAATGCCCTGACGGGTTGGTATACGATTTGTTTTAAGTTTTCCTTCTCTTTGCAGTGCTGTTATCCTACGTAGTTTATCTCTCTTACTCGGCTCTTACGATACCCACGGGATGAATAGGGGTGGTGACCGTTCGTCCACCACACGGACACACTACTTAGGTACCTATACTAGATCATTACTAATCATCGTCGGTTTATTACCTTAATAGTTGATCTCGGCTCTAAAGGATAAAGGATTGTGAAGAAATACAAAGTTTCATGTCTTCAAGTAAAATAAGGGCCGTCCCCCTTCTTTTTTTTACCGTACGGAAATCCCCTCGGATACCACCATGTGGCATGTCGGACTCGAACTCGCACGCCGTCTCGGGTACTAATAGCCGGGGAACCAGGTATACCCTAGAAAGGAAGTCCCTGGTGAAGGGCCCTCCCCTGTCTCATGTCACAATGTCTGTATATCAACCTAGCGATCGTAAGTGAGCAAAACAAGTGCTACAAAGATCAAGCTACTGTCTGAAAATTACCATTGAAATCGCTTCAACATTGAAAATAAACATCAACCAACCAACCAACCATGAAAATAACTCTTTCATATGGAGCATGAAAGAATTCTATTCATTTCTATTTATTTAAAGCAAGATCCACTAGAAAGTTACAATAATATAAGTATGTATAGACAAGGCTTTAAAAAAGTGTAAATAAACAATAGTCTTAGGTTTATTTATATTGTTATATACCTATAATTCAATTCAATTCAAATTATTTATTTCGGACTATTACATCCATATAGTGTTAGTAACAATGTGTTTTAAAAAACTAGTGTTAGTATTGAATTATATTTATTCTTTATTATAATTTTTATTTTACGTGAATGATAATAAAAACAATAATAAATAACTAATCGGTTAAAATAATACATATTTATACTTTATTTTTTTCATGGTGCTATTGAGAATTAGAGCATACAAAATGAACTTTCACAACTTACCACAAGAAACTCTGGAAAGCTGACACCACCGATATCAAAAACTTAACAAATAAGCACTTATGTCAATTATTTACAAATAAGAAACTACACTAAGTAATATCAGAGACAAATATTCGAAATATAACAAACAATAGCACCGCGGGCCAAGTTTTAATGGAATACAGGTTTGGTTATACCAAACGTGTTTAGTCACGGAGCTTCCACACAAGACTGCCATAATTAAATTAAGCAACACACTCTCGCAATGAAATATAAAATAGATTATTTAATAACTTTATATAATAATTATATGAATGTTAAATATTAGTAAATAATAATTTAATTTACCAAATTCATATCGTTTGTCGGGCATTCCGCTGTAGTGAGAAGATACGGGAGTTTAAACCTTGTCTAAAGGATTTAGGTGTCAATACCATTATATCGGAAAGTAGTAATATTATTGTAAGAGAATAAATAAAAAATAAACACCTTTGACTCGATAATCTCTTCAACGATTAGAAAAGAAACTTAAACGAATTATAACTAAGAATACTCTCGATCAGGTTACCTTTTAAACAAAATGCAACTAAGTTAAAATCGGTCCAACCGTTTAGGAGTTATGATACCACGGACAGATAAATAGACTTACAAATGTGTTTTACATATGTACGTAAAACTAAACCCCCTTCTCTTTACGTTTGGGGTTAAAACACTAATCGTAATAAAAATATCGCATCACTAGGTTTCTAGGTTGATACAGATACTCGGTTAAATGTTTTAATGTAACAATTATGTGTATGACTTCATCATTTGCTTGAGACCTAGATATTCTTCTGATATTCTGCAGATGCAACTACCACGTGGTTGACGTTAATTTTTCTAAAATTGTGGGTTCTATTCACGACGGCATCAAGAAACGGTCTACTTAGCGAAAAAGTATACATCATTTCTTTGTTTTTTCACAACTACCAAAAGGGCACAGAGGGCCCGTCCCAGGGCCTCTATCGTCACAGGGCCTCGAAAAGCGAATACATAGAGCGATATATTCGCTTACACTATACATTATTTTTTTCTATTTTAGATCGATATTAACCAACGAAAAAAAATTAAAAAGACAACGGGGGAATTTGTTGCAACCCTAAGCAATGACAAGCATATGACATTGGCGAATGTGGCATTGCCAAACTTTCCTGATAGAAATTGGTAGTTCCGAAAAAATTGGCTGGGTTTTTTTTAATTTTCGATAATTCTGTATATTTATATAAATACAGCTTAAAAAAAGAGACCTAGTAAGTAAGGGTCTGGAGCATATGCCCAGTGGGTACGTTGCTAAGAGGTTTTTTTTTCATTTGGCGCATATAAGTTCTGTTCTAGGAACACCTGAGAAGTGGGGATAAACTAGTAAGTTGAGTAAAACAAAAAATAAGTCTTCATTTAAGAATAAAAGAAAAATGTGAATTTGCAATTTTTGTCCCGTGTGCAGCACACTCGCTAAATTTAGTAGGTGTTCAGGCTGTTGAATGTATGGCAATAAAGATAAGTCTGAAAGGAAAAGAATTTGCAGCACACACGTCTCCTTTTTTGAAGGATCATCAGAGACTGTAGAGTTGCATGACAAAGAAAAAATTAATAAAAAGTAAAACCATTTAGAGAAAACGTATAAAGAAGAAATAAAAATTAATACATACATTAATAAAAATTGGTCAATTAAGTATGTTATTATTTTAATTACAATAAACAGAATCACTAAATACTTATAATAAAACCAGTAAGGTACTACAATTTTCTTATTTTAAGTGCTATGTATTTTATTTTTCGTAGACCACTACTGCTACAAATAGTATATATATCTGTTTATATTATTTGTTTGAAAAATGGCTCTTTAATATCCAAAACTAAAAGACATACATTCAAATAGTGCAAATATCAGTTATTTATTTTGTATGCATAATGTGCATTATAAAATATTCAAGACTTGATTTGTTTCAGTCGTTACCTCTAACGCCATCTGTAAGTTTTTACTGGAACTAGCCAGTTTCGTAGCGCAACTTGGTTATATTGAACCGTTTTGCTCTGCATGAAGTTTTTTTTAATCGCTTCAAATGCAAACATAAAACACCCATTTTAATATTCGAGCACCTGCAAAAAATTGATTATTTATTATGAGTATATGTATTTCCAATTTTTATAAGGATGTTCCGTGAACGATATATACTCGTGGGAGTCCCATACTTCGCACATATGGGCCAGGCGTAACTGGAGTGATGCCATGGCCTCACAGTAAACCTTTGTTAAGCAGCAGTGCTATTCTCTAAGCAAACAGCCTTGTGTACGAATACGTCGAATTTCAAACGAATTTAGTCTGGCAAGGCTGTTTCCTTAGAGAATAGCACTGCTGTTCTTATATTGCTTTTCACTCTCACCGAGTGGGTGAGATTACCGGAGCCCAAAAACTTACCAACCCTCTAAATTCCGGGGAGGAGGGACTGAAAGAGCGATGAATGCCTCATGTTTTCTTCATTATTTCTTTTAATTATTTTTAGAGGCGTAATGCATTCCAGGTTCTTTATAGAATGAATCCTCATACCATCCTTTTTATAAATAGCAATACTTATAATATAGATGTGAAAGTTTGTTCCTTTGTCACGGGTTTACGCCTAAACCACTAGCTATGTACACAAAGCCATTTAATCAGTGAGTAACTTGAGCTACTTTTTACCTCGAGCTATAACCAATATAAACGCGGGCGGAGCCGCGGGCAAAAGCTAGTAAATTATGAATAACGAATAAGAATCTGATAATTTTGATTCTAGAAATAGGACTAACTCAGTAACTTATGAACTAACACCTGACTATTTCGTGACGTGAAAATATGAGCGTTTTTTTGTGATTTCTGATGATATAAACAAATGTTAAGTGAAATTATATTTTTCTTTTAGCTTTTTTTTACAAAATAACCGACACTACTACTAAAAACACCAAAAAGTTTGGTGATGACAAATTATAAGCACAGAAATCGTAATAACAATACACGCAACAATCTTATTATTACGATTTCTATGATTACAAGGTATCTATTTATATTGAGGTGACAAACCTTTTAGGTACGTAGGCATTAGGTGATTTTACAACAATGTGTATAACCAATGTAGTTATTTCGTATTGATTTACATTTTTATATACATGCACTACGATATGATTTCGTCATATCGAACGAAAAAATAGGTAACGCACCTCTTTGTCGGAATTCTGCCTGCAATTTTACCAATAACCAGAAAAATGCGATGTGTGCCGTTTCTGTCCTGTCTGTTGTAATTATTCATTACAAAAATATAAAAGAGGTATAATGGCAAGCAAAATAAAATTGTTTTCTTTCTTTGTACATTTACAACGAATAAGTAAATTGTATTTAAGTCCATTACAGAAAATGTTAAACGATGAAGAAGATGGATCAACTTCTTTTTAAATTGTTTATGATTGTGTTCAAGTAGGTATGTTGTGCCTACAACTTGTAGATTGTACCTTATTTTGACGATGTTAAAACAAAAAATAAAAATTAACTCAGGCGCTAATATCAAAAATAGCAGCTATCTCCAAGCTTAGTTAAAAATAATTTTACGGTAACAACAGGTATCTAACAACAGACTGCTACGGGCTTTTATTTGTTTTCATCGTAGTTTTAAATGAACCGCGTTAAAGGTATTGTCAGTCAACTATCAAGATATTTTAAAAATATAAGCCTTTATAAGCCATTGCCTCATAGATAATAATTAATATTCATTTATTTGTAGCTTGTTCGATGATTAAAAATAATTCATTGTGAAGTTCATTCCGAAATAGGTTTTTAACCAGTAAAGCAGTAATTAGCAGCGCTGTCTATAGCTTGTCAAATTTTTCATTCATTTCCGTTAGTCAATTGTTTTTAAATGTGGAAACCGATAATATTGGACGTCGAGTGCATCGTTTGCAACAAATCGTTGCAAAAGATCAATCACCACCCTCAGGATAGTTGTGGCAAGATGGGTAAGATAATTAAGATGAATAACAATCGACGGCTGAGGACTCCTAATTGGTCGTTCGATGAAAAACAGTTCCTTCTCGAATTAATTAAGCAGCGCAAGGATGTGGTCGTTACTAAATCTAACAACGGTCCAAATCATTACGAAGAGAAAGATATTGCATGGAATGAGATTTTAAATGAGTTGTCGACAAGATTTGGCGAGAAGTTTAGTGGTAGTTCAACAAAAAAAGTGAAAACGCAATGGCAAAACATGAAAAGAATAGCCCGTGAAGAAATAGCGCTTAATGGCCCAATGCTACAAAATTACTCACGACTGTCTCTTGAAGTGTGTAATATTATTGAACTAATTAAAGACGGTGTGCTTAGAAGTGAAAATGAAAATTTAAATGAAACATCAATGACAACAAATATTGAAATAAAATCTGAGTATGTAGAAGAGTGAGTATCATAACACTAATTTGATTATACGTAAAAGTAGATCATCAGACGATAGGTCCTGCTATAACACTCATACAATCTTATAATTTTAACACACATTCCAATTACAAGTAAATAGCTGCATCTTAAAAAATAATATTTTCATGAGAAAATATTTCTTTGATAATTTGACTGTTAAGTTATTGTCATTTTTTACTTTTTAATTTCAGTGATGTTAACCAACCAAGTTGCAGTGGTGTCAATGTTAGTTCTGCCTCTATGGATGTTGATAATTTGCAAAACAAAACTAACAGTACTAACCTGAGCTCAAATCAGTTGGAGTCTTCTACATCATCAGCCTCTGAACAAGTTTCTGATGGAAATGACTATGATATCCCACATGAAGATAATTCAATTGATAAATGTATTGCTAAAAGAAATGCTTCAGTAATGACTGATAGATGTATGGATGAAACTAGCAATATTCCTAATCTCCTCCAAAGGGACTTGCAAAATTATTTTCAGTAAGTGGTACCTTGCATATTAATTTCCACTAACATTTAATTGTAATGTCGTTTTAATTCTTCTAATACAGCAATATTTTTAGGTACAGTGCTGAAGAAAAGCAGCTGAAGATGGATTCTTTAAAAGAAGAACGGCAGATTATTAGAGCAATGAGAGAAACAGCTGAATTAAACAAAATAATAGCCGAGCAAAGACTCAAGCATGTCCTTTGGGTAAAGAAACAAGAGATGTTGTATGTATATTTCTATATTTTTAACTTGATTTAAATTTGTTTTATGATCTTTCTTTATTTGTTATCAAATATTAACAACTGTTGCAACCCAAGACAAATCTCATAAACAAAAACTTGACAAATTCTCTCTAGTTTAAGTAGTGTCATAAGTAAATTTAAATACTACGGTAGGATTTAAGAACTTAAAACATTTTATAGGTCAGTTTGATTTTTGTATTTTTATAATAATTGAAATAACAGCTAAAAAGCCACAGCTTCAAACAAACATGTTTAGATCTCTATGGTTTCGGTTTTTTATGCATATCTAAGGGTTGTGTAAGCGATGATAATATGGATTAATATAAAGTCGATTAAATAAAATCGATTATTCTAAATGGTTCTTTTCTGTTAGGAGTACAAACATGAAATGACAGATGAAATAACGAACTATTAACCAATACATTTGGAGATCATATTTATGCTTCATGTGTAATAGGTATGATAGAAGCATGCGTTTTCGAATTTCAACTACCTACTCGAAAATGATGTCGGAAAAAGTAGAAACCCAAGTAAAGTTGAACTTAAGTCATACACTTATCAGACTTGTTTCATAAGTCTAACTGTATAACTTAAAGCTCAAAATTGTAGAATCTTATGTATTGTTGCTAACTTGCAACAACAACACAGGTACTGGAATGACAGAATCGATAAATAGTGCATAAATATTTCACCACCACTGGTACACAGTTGCACCTTGCACTTCATCGCTGATTAAATTAGTAAAAGACAGAAAGACTTCTTTTTTTTTAGTTATTCATTCCAATAAGATTCTTTTAAATTCACTCGATGTATCGAATGTATAAAATCGAGTGGACATATTATTTGTTTGACGTCTTGCACGTAGTGCTTTTTGTTCTGCACTATTATTTTGCGGTATTGCGCGCATGTCTAGCGTTTCATATTTTGCAGTACTTTCTGATTTTTCTGTTAAATAATAAGAGTAAAAATATAAGATAATTGTGTACATAAAATCATGAATTCCTTAGCAAGGAGTTGTAAGACTTTTCCGCGGGCTCTGGTTGTAAGGTAAGATTAACCTACTAGTGACCGGCAATCATTACGCAATCTAATTATTTTTGAATTGTTGTACTTTATATTTATGATACCGATCATGGTTCATCATCAATGTTTATGTCGCAAATCCTAAATCGTCATTGATCTCATCACTGTAAAATGGATAGTCATGAGACAATTTTAGCTCATTCTATATTTATCTGCGCATCAGTAAATTAATTATTTGTTAACGTTTTTAATATATGTGTATATTGTTTACTGATATATCAGGTGTTTATTGATTTCTGTGAAAATTTGTGTTTGGGGTATGATCCAGTGCATGACCTCTAACAAGACTAGGGTCATTATGTTATGTAAAATCTAGTTGTTTTTATGTTGTTTTGTCGAATCTAATAGCTACAGCTCAGTCCTAGTACAACTAAATTTTCTAATAAGAAAAGTCCTCATTACCACCCTTCATTATCGTCAACCTCCTTTTTAAGGAGAGGCTTATGTCCAGCAGTGGACTATTAAAGGCTGTTGATGTGATGATGGACGACTTCATTATAACATCATATTTATTTGATCAGTTTTAGTTTATGTATTTTAGCTATTATCCTTAACGCTGAATATTCACTGCTTTACATTCTCACATTCAATGTTTTTAATTAGTTATGTAGTATATTCTTCCTCAAGTAACTAAGAAATAAATAATATCCCTAAAGTTATTATTTGAAGTGGCGGAAATAGTATAACTATTGTCCTAATACACAGACATGCATAACACTCATCCTTCCTTCGCGTACAATATTACACACAAAACACCTGCTCACAATACAACACACACTACAAATCACAAACCCACACACCATTCTATACAACTCACTCACGCACCAACAATTACACAACACACTCGCTTAACACCGATTACACAACACACACCATTCATTACACAACACACTACAACAGATAATTACATGAACTCCTAAGAAATTATTTATTTTAAGTTTATAATGAAATTAAAATTGAAAATATTATAATATAGTATACAGTGTATTTTAAAACTCAACACACAGACATAATTCAATTCAGTTTGGAAAATAACTCTATGCATAGTAAGTAAGTGACAGGTAAAAGTCAACAACTCATATCTTGTACCACACATGTTGGTATTGAACACAAGAAACGAAGTATAGTTATTGCCATCGTTTCTGAACTACCCTCTCATATTTTTGTATACTTAATAAACTAATGATTTGTATGAACTTAAATTTTAAGGAATACTTTAGATATAAGGCAGCTGTGTAAATATGGTGGAAGGTTGATAACCTGAGATACCTAGTTCAGGTATCAACTCATCATAATCCCTTTATTTTCATTCAATATGTATTTATATGTACACTTACTTGTACTTATTAACTAAGTCTAAAAATGATCCTGATAAGTCTTGTTGCACTTCTGGCAATGTTACTTGTCCAGCAACAAATAACTTATAGCTAAAATTGTTTAGTTCACCATTATCTGATGTAGTATTAGTCTGGGGTCTGTCTGCTTTTGGAATGGGTCCAAGCAAATGGACCTCTTTAATCCCCTGGTTAATAATAATCAATTAATTAGTTTTGCTGGTTGGTCACCACCAGCGACCTACCCTTTATATTTTTTTCTCTTAGTGTCATTAAAGGCAATTTAACATGACATGGTTTGTCAGATTAAGTACTTTTTTACTGAGAGATCTCATCATGTACTTATAGATAGGCAATTACCTTAACTATATCACTTAAGGAATCTTTAATTGAAAGTTTTTACAAAATTATCTGCAGAATCTCTAATGATTATTGTTTAAGTGTTGTATAAGTGAATTGAAAATGCATGTTTTGTGTTCACAATTGAACCTCATACTTAAAAAATTATATACCATAAGCAATGATCATTGTGTATGACAGCAAAAACATTATTGATGAAAACAGAAAATCTATATCAGGCCAAATGGACTGTGTATATTATACTATCCTGCCAGATTACTGTTACCTTCATCCTATTTTAAAAAATAAAATTGAATAACAGCCTTGCAAACTCATTGGTACAAGCACATTGATTTGAAAGACACAAGAAAGTTAAGCCACAGAGAGACAATTGAATATGGTAAAGTTGAATGGGTCATATGTTAGGATTATAGAACACCAAAAAAGTTGAGGTTATATTTACTGACACACTAGGTGCATATGCATTTTTGTTACTTCTAGTAGGGGAGCCTGTGATGCTAAATGGGGACTTCTTCGAGCGTCATGGGGACCTATTGCATTTGAAAAGTTAAGTAAAAGAATGGATAGGGAAAGTTTCTACAGGTTTTCAAAAATGTAAGGGGAGGAAATCGAAAAAAGAAATATTCGGGCGCCGCAGATATTTTGGGGATATGTTATTTTCATTTACAAATACCCGAGCGTGTTAGATTTTATACAGACGGTTCAGCTTAATATTCCTGTCATGCTAGCTAAAAATCTGACAATAATTTTGCAGGGTTGGTTTTTTTTTCAAACTGTGCCAATAAAAGGCACGAAACATTATGTTGACATTTAAAGAACGTTTCTGGCATTATTTGCTTAAAATAATAAAAGAAAATGTCAAGGTGTTGTTTTTTTTTTAACTTTGTGAAATCCTTTTACATGGGTTGTTTTAAACACTCAGGTGTTTCTATATCAAATATGTAAAAATGTGTAGTATGTTCATTTATGCATGTTTTAACTCAAAATAGGTAGTATCTGCATAGCTTAGTTCTAGGTTGTGAAGTGTTTTATGTCCTAATGTAACAGTATAAAAAGATATTGTAGTCACTACAGGATTACCTAAGTGATTGGCTATATGCCAATGCACATAACACAATTGTTCTATAAATAGCATACAGATCAAGAAGTTAGAATCTGATTCATCAAAACACAATAGTCATATAATAAACACCTTGAAACATATTGTGAAATGATTTAAAATAGTGATGATTCAAGTTGATTGTACAGATTGTGAAAATGACAGATATTAGATAAAAATACTCTTCTCATTTTATTGTCCAAGTATACGGGGTACTTGTTAAGTTGATCTAGATACATTCAGGGGTTGTAGTTGCCATCATTTATTTATTTATTTAGTATCCACACTTACTACTATCATTACAGGTATATCCTAATGCGATAGCGTAACTATTACAAAAATGCTTGTTTTACATAACCTCTAACTTTTTGTTTTGTAACATATAATATATAATACTGTCTTTGTGAACTCACTCAGTGTACAGCTAAATAAGTCGATATCTGTGGCTACTAGGTTTAGGGTGCGCAACGCACGCGTTAGAGGCGCTTCGCTTAGCAAATTAGTGCGTCCGCGCGGCACCGCCAACAATGGCGGACGGCGTCGCCGCCACACATACCCGTCCGGTACACACATGCCTACCAATCCTAATATATTGCTGTCGTGGATTTTTCCCCTTAGTAGATTAAATATATAGGAGGCAAGACTAAGGTCCCTTCTGACTGACTTCTGATAGATTGACTGACTTCTGATAGATTGCACTATTCCATTTCCAGAAAAAAATACTCATTTGTGAAAAAAAACACGTTGTTTTTGATAATCATCTTTTATTTTTGACATTTAAATATAAACAAAAAGTAAAAGTTTTTTATAACGAAAAAAAATAACATTTGAACATTATCCATTCATGATGTAATAAAAAATTAGATTATTTATTATTGTAATTGAATAACAATCAGCCTTTTCGGTGGTACACTAAACAGTCTTCATTTTTTAATTTACTAGTTAAAGATCGGCGACAAAATAATCATATCAATTGCGTCAGATTCAATGGATTCAATATTCACGCCATATTTAGTAAGGATAAGTTCACATTGAATGAATATTTAATAAGATGTTTTGTACCTGACACATGAGGAGGAGGGAGAATCATTTTAATGTCACTCAGTTTTACAAGTGACATGTCAGGTTCCAGTGGAAACATAAACGTTTTATTAACATTATCTTTTAATTTTAGATGATATTCATTATCACTTTCCATTTCAAGAATCTTGGCAATATAATAAACAACCTTTTTTTTGATCGCAGCAATACAAGGACAAATTCATCAATTATTGGCTTATGCGGTAAATCAAGAAAATTTTAATCTATAATTTCATACCTTTGGTCATTTTCCTCATCCGATTCTAGGTCTGTTTCACTTTCTAGAATCACATTTTCTGTTTCACTGATTTCACTATCTTCCTCTAGTATACCTCTTTTTTTATTATTTTTCTTATTTGTTGATTTTTCAATCTTGAAGAACTTTTCTACTATGTAGACCTTTTCTATTTAACGTGGCAGTACGTGCCTCAGCGATTCTTTCCTTTTCTGGCGTGTCCGTTGCTATCATGCTTTTGCCCAATTTTCTACCTTTCCGTTTATCAGTACGAGGGCCAGCCTTTATCAAAGGACGGAACATTAGTGGAGTGATGATATGCTCCGACTTTGGTAGTTGATTTTCATCTTTGCATGCTTCATCCGAATTTCTTTGGCGGTGTCACGTTTTGATAGTAACTATGATATTCTTCTGATAGTAGTATAGACGGACTTTTTCGATGTGGGGTAACATCAGGATCATAACTTAAACGACGTGTCTCTAGAGAAGTCGAGTAGTCTAGCTGTAGATTATTGCCTCTATTCATCTCGAGAATCCCAAAAGCTTCAGCATTAGGAGCATCAGGTAATTCTTCTGACATCACCCGAACAGGGCGGTCGGTCACGCTACTTGGCACGAAGTCGTCTTTGGAGAATATATCTTTATTATAGGGAAAATACCACATTTTGCGAAAGCTGCCGATATAGTTAGTGGAGTCATAGATCTTGGATAAGCATGACCAATGAATCTTGCAATCTCATAGATTGTAACTGGTTTTCCTGGGTTCTGTAGCATCCTCGACTCAAGCGCGGAATAATAATAGGTCTTAAAAGGGCCCATCAAACCTACATCTAAGGGTTGTAGTCTGTGAGTAGTG